GGTAGAGCAGATATCTGAATAATTGTTAAAAACAAACAACAGAAGGTTAATAACTCGCGGCTCCACGCAACTTGTTTGCAAACTATGACTTAATTCAAACTCTTTGTATTTTTTTCCACAAATGAAGTAATCTGAAGACTCTGTTTCATCAAGAAAACTGTATCTGGTGAGACACAGAAAACGGAGATCCTGGAAGATATAACAAGGGGCTCCCACAAAAGTACTGGAAGTCAGTCATATTGAATCTACTCAGATTACCTCCAGAACCTTCCATTCCTCCTCGAACAACTGGCGTAAATCTGCCATGAAATAAGGATGAGGCTCTGACTAGGCCACCATATTTTTTAAAACGTATCATTTAATTGTAAACATGAACAAGAAACCACCAGTAAGAAGGACTTGTTATTTGAAGGCGAAAATGCTTTAGAGCAAAACAGAGTCAGTGCGCTTAACAGGTCTTTTTCATAAATGCTTAAAATAATTAATTTGACCCTATACAATATTCTATTTAAATTGTACTTATAGGGCGGTAACAAATTTTAAAAATAATTCTCAATTACAGAAGTAATTTATGAACACATTGATCTTCTAATCATGGAGACAGGCTACACTTCTGTTTTACTATCATCTCGAAACAATGCCCTAGATATTACCACTCTCAGGTTTTTGTGGTGAATTATTCCAGATCATAAGCATTCTTAAACATCCATGTATCCGTATAAAATATACGGTTTGGCAGCTTCTTAGGGACCAAGACTTATCTGCTACCATCTACTGGGCCTCCTCCTCTGCCCCCTGTCCTGGGGACATGGGGAAAAAGTCGGCGCACGCAAATCCCCAGTGATGGGGAGACCATCAGCAACCTTATAGAAGATGTGCGACCTGAGGGATGAGAACAGAGCAGAAAGGAGGGAGCAAGTGTTCTGGAGATGCGGGGAACGCTGGAAAGTCAGAATATGGCAGGGAGCGAAGCCTGGCATCCTGCAGACTGGGGATTTACCAAAACGGCTTACTATGACTATTCTCAGCCCGCCTTCGCTCAAGCCGTGAGCTGGAAGCCAGAGTTACCTTGAATCCATCTCCAGGAACGTCACCCCGAATTGTCTCCCGCCCCTGGGGCTGCCTGGGGATGGCCCGAGCAGCGGCTCCGTCTAGGATGGATTAGAGTCAAACCCTTCCTGAGAATCCTCACTTGATTCCAGATCTTCCTCTCCATCCTCTCTTCCTTTTCTTGCTCTCTCTTTTCTCCGTCTCCTCCTTTTCTTCCCAAGATGCAGTTAGGAAGGGGAGTCCAAAAGAGCTGTGCTACTTAAGGGTCACTGGCGGACGGTCTGGGTAAGCAGGCCTGGGATCATAACCCGCCTGCAACGGGACGTAGTCAGCGTGACTCTCCTTCCTCCACCAGGTGAATTATCAACATAAGAAGACACCCACTCCAAGAAGCAATCTGCTCAGACTAATAAAAGAAGCTGTAAGTGCCTTTGATCAAAGCTCACACTATGATGCAGAATCTATGCCTTTCAAGTTCTGCAATCCGAATAAAAGGGCTTCAGATGGTTACATTACAAGATATAGATCGAGTTAAATGCAGTGGAAAGAACAGCATAGCAAGACGTAGATGCCGGTATCAGCAAAGCGGCCTTTCCACTGAAACTAAACATTAACCACACCTAATATCTTGATCAGTATGCCGATCTGCAAGACTCCATTTCCTCATATCTCAAATGAGGTCATTACCGTTCACCCTGCCGACTTTCCTTTTTCCGTGTATAGTTGTTATTAGGTTTAAATCAAATAAAGCCAAAGCTCTGAATAGTAACACATTCTGTAGATGAGAGGAATCATCATGTATAAAATATTAAAATTTCCAGTGCCTCACACACTGACTCCAGACCCGAACTACAGGGAGAAAAAAATAGCACGGGTGGATCCTGAAACAAACCCAAGAGCACCGAAGGGGAGACGTCTCTCTCTGCATCTGAAGCAGGAGAGGCCATGGAGTCGCTACAATGTACAAAAGTGGGAGAAAGTGGGGCTAGGACCCCCTGCTGACGCCTCAGAGGCTTCCCTGCACAGAGTCTGGTTTACATAAAGGAGCGGGAAGCTCACACTATGAACAGCTCCAGGACCCATCAGAGAGACAATAAGAGGATCATCATATTTTTAGGTAAGATAATTGAATTTCCAGCTAACACTCCACGCAGTTTCACACAGCAAAAGATGGCCCCGATCCCTGCTGTCTCCTCGCACTGCTCTTAAAAAAATGGAAAAGAATGACTATTAATTCCTGTTAACCATTCAGAGCCAAAGGACGAACACTGACTGCTTAATAGAAACATACATTGTGACTCTCAGCACTTTGGGAATCATGCTAAAAAACAAGAGCCATCCATTAGGATCTTACTGTTGCTTCAACAGCTTCACGTTCGATTTGTCCTGATTAACCAGCCGGAGGAGAATCATAGCAACTCTTCCTGCAACTACCAACACATTTCAAACAAACGCTTTGCTTTTGAAATGGACAAGTCTGACTTTCCAGGTCAGGAATAAATGATGTTTAAACAGTCTTTTGCTGGGTTGCCTGGGTGGCTCAGTGGGTTAAACCCATGGCTCTTGATTCCAGCTCAGGTCATGAGATCGAGCCCAGCATGGGGCTCTGCAGTGGGCATGGAGTCGGCTAAAGATTCTCTCTCCCTCTGCTCTGCCCTTCTCTCTTTCTCTCTCTAAATTAATTAATTAAAAATTCTTTTGCTCTCTTATCTAGCAAAAAAGTGTAATATGAATAGGCTTTATTTCTATGAAGTCAATGATTTGTCTTACAGTATAAAGTATACGAGAAGTTACATTTTGGAGAAGCTGAAGAAAGCAGTCTTTCTGAACGATTCACTATGGAACACACAAGCAAAACATGCAGCGAATAAATGGATTTATTTATTTCTTTTGTCCCCTATTTTTAGTCTCCTCTGGGGAGTGAAGGAGTGAGGAAAATACACCAGGGCAATGAAATGGGAACCTGTTCCCATTTTTTATTTTGATGCACTTCTTCAAAGTTCCGGTGTGTGTTCCAATGTCATCCCATCCCCAGCTGCGATGTCGAGCAGTATCCCAGCACACGCAGAGGTACAGAAGGAATGGTGGCTGCCCGGGGGCATGAAATGCCTCCCTGGTGCCCCCGTGTGGAACCCCGTGCTCTGTGCACAGGCATCGGGGGACTGATGCACGTCACACACTGTGCAGGAAGCACAGGAAACCCCCCCCTGCTGGGGGAAGAATGTTCCAGATGCCCTCACCTTTTCTCTACAACTCAAGCCTCCGTTCAGCATTAATAAAGCCCTATTATCCTTAGCTGTGAATATCCTTTTTTTTTTTTTTTTTTTTGAGAGAGAGAAAGAGCATGAGCGGGAGGGGCAGAGAGAGAATCTCAAGCCGACTCTGTGCTGAGCGGAGCAGGATGAGGGGCTCGATCTCATGACCCTGAGAATCACGATCTGAGCCGAAACCAAGAGTCGGACGCTTAACCAACTGAGCAGCCCAGGGGCCCCTCTGTGAGTATTCTTTAAAGGGAAAAAAAATGCAACAAGAAAATCTCAGAGTTCTGTATTCAGGAACAACTATTACCAAAAGACTTACTTAAAAATTCTGGCAATGATTGAGTCGAGATGACTTCAGCTTCCTGCGAGTCTGTTTAACCGTTCTATATGTGACCCCAGCTCCAGAGTGCTGAGCGGACACCGTCCCATGTTAGTGACACCCCCTCATTCCCTTTCTATTCCAGCCTCTGGGCACGGATGTGCACCCATGACCCCTACAGCCGCATGCGCCTCCCCCTTCAGACTATTTAAAGCTCATCCCATTATTAGGTGAAAACAAAGGAAAGGTCAAGATGATAATAAAGAGAGAGACTGGGTGGTACAGACAATGAAGCCATCAGTCATTGGTCTGACGTTCCAGATTCCATGTCCTTCGCAGCAGGTGCATGAGGTGCCAACGTCAGCCCTGCAGTCCCTGCCTGTGTTGCCCGTGGTGGGCACCAGCACACACATCCAGCAGTTCTGAACCATCGGAAGGGAAGCTCTCGTCTTTGGCCTCATCTGTTCTCTTACATTGTCTCTTGGAGATGCCCCACTGCTTTTCAACCTGACATTTCTGGTGGCTTTTTGGTGATTGGTAGGTTTTACCAAAGCGATTAGCTGCCATGCTCTGTTCTGTTGCTTTATGGCCAGAAACGTCCAGGGACTCCTGGTGTCTGGGGCTTTATTCTGTTTCCCATTCCTGAGTCACTGTGAACTTTTCAAATGCTTTCAAAAGCTTCAAACCTCCTGTTCCCCACACTAGTCATGCATGGCATTCTGATGCTGTTCCAGGTGCTGAACAAAATCAGAACTGTACCCCACTGTTTCTGGGGAGCCCCCCCCAGGCTATTCTGTCTCACGTTAGTTCTTCCTTCTGGAAGGAGGAGCTCTCTCTCCTGCAGGCCCCTGGACTCTGCCAACCAGGGGGCCACAGGAAAGAATGAACGTTTCCAGTGGTGAAGCTTTTGTCACGGAGTGAGGTGGGAGGGACAGTGACCTTTTCCGTGTGTGGCAGCTGAGAAGCAGCAAACGGGGTTACACAGCCCTGGATGAGCTGGGAAGTGGGTCCGAAGAACAAAGACCACCTCCCAGCGAGGGGCCAAGAAACCAACACCCTCATCTGCTCTCCTTTAGCCCTGTCAGAAAGCCTGAATGACAAAGATGACGGACACACAGGCCAACAATGCGGCTTCACGAGCTCCTCGTCCACGCCATTTAAGGAGCCCCTTGGCCCGCCTCACGGGTCTGCCACCAAGCCCCGACAAGGGGAACGTCAGAAAGACTGATGTGTTTCCAGGGACTACGCTTAGTGTCTCGTCTTACCCAACACATCGACATTTTTGCCAGGGAGGCTGCTAGCACCCACCGTGACTCAGCTCGCTTGTTGAACTCCCGAGCCCGTGTGTTCGTCGCTTGCTGGTCACTCACCTTCCAGCCTTGCAGTTTGCACCGCTGGAGAACAAGGCGACATTTCTCCCCGGCAGACAGCAGCTGCTTCTCACCCGGGAGCATATGGGCCAATGGCTTGTACCTGGGAAAAGCAGCAGGAACACAAAAGCCATGACTGAGTTTGTCAAGCAAATGCTTCTTCTGTTCGACAGGGTCGTCTCTTTCACACTGTTTCTTTAATCTTCCCCAATCCCTACTTGAGCCTCCAAGCCCCCAAATCTCCATCTGCTGTGCACTTAACATTGTCCAACCGTGAGGTAACCCTCTTCTGTGACATGGAGAATGATTTCTAAAATGAGCCAAATAGATATTTCAATCCTTTAATGTATGTTTAACGCTATTATCATGGATTAACGGAAACCATTTAACAAAAGAAAACTGAAGAGAAGGAAAACTCACGGTTTTCATGTAAATTTTAGAATGCTCTTAAAAATATACCTTCTAAGGAATCTTAGAATTCCTTATGACCATTTGAAAGTGAAAGTGAAAGTTACAACCTATAATAAATGAGCATCGAAACGTCCAGAATTTTTAAGCGAGAGCTAGAGTAGCTTCTTCCCATTATGTTACATATTGAGAATTTTAAATCTTCTAGAAGGACATTTATTTATTTATTTATTTGAAAGTTCCTCTGAATAATTCACTGTCATTCCCTAGCTGAAATCCATGGCAATATAATGGTTTTCTATGGATTTTTTTTAAATGCCCTTCAAAATTCTATCAGCCACTTAAAAAAATCTATATAAAATTTCCCTTGCATGCACGGTATTTAGCCTGAAATAGAGGCGAAACTGCATTAGAAGAAGGAGGAGGAAGAGGGACAGAGAAGAAACAAGCAAGGATTTGTGCAATTGCTTCTAGTCGCACCGTGTTTATGATTCCCACATTGAGCTGCTCTGGGAATTTAATGCCCAAAGGTAAATCACTTAAGTTCTCTGTGACTTTCTGTAAAATGTCTTAGCTTTCCATCTAAAGTTTGTTGCAGCAAATTTGGCAACTTCTAAGATGAGTTCTTTGCTTCCCTAGAGCAAGGAAGGGAGCTCACTGCCTCCACGTGTTTATCGGCCAGGCTCCCTCCGAGCAGCCGGGAGAGGACTGGGCGTGAGTCCCCCTGACCACCACACCAGAGCGGGGCACCCCGCGGGGAGGTGCCCAGCACCGTGGGCAAGGCACAGAACGCACACTGAGAAAAGACACCTATTTTGAACTTTTTTTTTTAATTTTTTATTGTTATGTTAATCACCATATATTACATCATTAGTTTTTGATGCAGTGTTCCATGATTCATTGTTGGTTCATAACACCCAGTGCTCCATGCAGAACGTGCCCTCCTCAATACCCATCACCAGGCTAACCCATCCCCCCACCCAATTTTGAACTTTTCAATAGCAGACATTTATTTCCTTTTTTGCATCCTTAGCATTATCACTGAGCACTCAGCCTGTTGGTTGTCCTGGGCTGAGAATGACCCTAATCTTGGTAGCCACACGTCAGACAAACGAGATACATCAACATCAGCCACAACCCTTCCTTCTCATACACAGATTTTTGCTCAAGAATCAAACTCAGGGTACAGGAGGGTGTAAGACTACAGGTAGCCAAGTCTGAACATAAAAATTATAGTGTCAGAGGCAAGGATATGAAAAATCTTGCTCATCATTTTGATTACACCAAATGGACTGAAATGATCTGTGGAATACGGAAGTATTTAGTGATTTTTTTTTTTTTTTACAAGAGGCAAGAATGTGATTTCCTACCCAGTAAGCACTGGACTTGGTATCTATCTTTTCTACTGGTCTTAGTGTGTGGTTGCTGCAGAAGAGACAAGGGTGTCTTCAGGGTAGAAGGGAACAGAGAGAATGGGTAGAATGATGTGTGTGTGTGTGAGTGTGTGTGTGAGTGTGTGTGAGTGTGTGAGTGTGTGTGTGTGTGTGTGAAGCGCCGGAACCAGGAGTATCATACGCAGAGGCCAGTGGGGTGGACCGTCCAGAAATGTGGGTGTATGACATGCACACATCAGTGAGCAGACCAGATTATGGTTTATAATGTCTCAGTGGTTCAAAGGTGACAGGTGATGGACTTGCACAGTGGGTCTGAATACGCGAGAAACCGGATGGGGGACCTAAACACAGCCTCGGGGTCTACCTTTACAGAGAACTGCTTCGAGACCCTTGGCCGGCCACTTTACAAGGAACACCCCCTCTCGGTTCTGTCTGCATGCGTTTTCAGGATGTGACATGAACTCTGTATTGTATTAAAAGCACAAGTCTAATTCCTATGATTCCTCAAAGTGGGTGAGCTTCCCCAGGGGATGGACCATCTCTGTGCATTCCACGGTCTGCTGGATTACCTTTGCATGCAGCAAGTACTAATAAGTGATGGGAGACCAAGAAACCGGGCTGGGGGAAGGCAGGGCGGGGGCAGCGGGATGTGGAAAGTGACAGCTGGCAGGCACTGAACAGGAGTATGGGCTTTTCATACTCCTCCCAGATGCAGGAGTCCTGCATGGCAATCTTTCAACAGTGAGAAAGCTGACGGTCACAGAAATCAAGGCACTTGCCCAAATTCAAACAGATTATTTTATGGGTTGAATCGCGTTCCACCCCCTCCCCCAAAGAGAAGTGGACATGACTTTCTTTGAAAGTAGTCTGTGCAGATATCATGCCGTTACGATGAGCTCATTAAGGTGGGCCCTGGTCCAATATGGTTGGCGTCCGTCTAGGAAGAGGGAATGCCACGTACAGACAGGGACACACAAGGAGAACATGGCATGATGAGGGAGACAGAGGCGGAGGGAGTGGGCTTCGAGCCAAGGAGCACCAAGGGTGACCGACCACACCGGAAGCTGGACAGAGGCCACGAAGGATTCTACTCAAGAGTCTCAGAGGCACAGAGCCCTGCTGACACCTTCACTTGGGATTCCCAGGCTGAAGAACTATGAAAGAGTGCATTTCTGTTGCTTGAAGTCCCCCGGTTTGTGGTGCTTTGTTAGGACAGCCCCAGGACACCGAGAGAGATGGTAATAGTGGCTGAGCAGGGATTTGAACCCAGGACCAGGCGACCCCAGAGACAGTCTCTCTCCGGAAGCTTCAAAGTCCCGTGTCCAGTCATACCTGTGCTCAGCACCCGTGCGCCGACATGGTTGAGGCAGGAACCAACAAGCCCCCAGCCCCAGATGGCTCTAGAGCGGAAAAGGAAGGGCTGGAGCATGAGAAACAGCAAAGGTTAACACTCAACATCATCAGCAGCACACTGGACATGCAGAGATAAGAATTCTAGGTTCTCTGACCTTTGGGTGACAGGGCCTCTGATGGTAAACTCAAGCTCAGAATGAAATACAGACTCATTCAAGCGCTCAGGGAAGCCAGCATGTTCCTACCATTTAGCCAGAGTCACACAATGAAATGAAATCACTCAAATTATCTTTTTATTCTCTTACAATTGTCTCATTCTGTAGCTCTGCTAATTATCACTGAGAACTGAATTGACATAATTCAAGTATCTGAATACAGTATTAACAAGTCAGAACAAAGATCTTACACTGGGTGCTTTTTTCCCCTCATTTTATATTGTTCTTGTGACACCTAAAATGGTATAATTCTGACATTTCAACTGAAAAGACAAACACATCATCTCAGACAGAGTGAGGTACTCTATTTTAGTGTAATTAAAAACATCTTGTTATTTGGAATGTGAGTGTCATCTGTAGGTGGTGTCACAAGTCGATCACTGAGCTAACACAGGCTCTCGCAGAAACTCCAACCCGAGACCGAGGGGTAAGAATGAGCCCGGGGCAGCGCACGGGTGCTGAGCACAGGTGTGACTTGGACACGGGACTTCGAAGCTTCCATTCCCTACACCCTCTTAGCCTCTGTCGCCCAAGAGCAGGTCACCTCGACCCACCGAAGGTCTCTGTTTTCAGGCTGGCACCTGCCCGTGTCTGAGACAGATCAACTGACTCTAAGATGTCGTGTCAAGTCTGCTAAACAGCCCACTGTTGCCTTGTCCCGGGCTGGGTTGCAGGGAATGATTGGGATCCAATTCCATGTCCAGAATCCGGGTGCCAGGGCGCATTCATTTGGGCTCATTCAATCAATCAACCAATAGGAATGGCAATACTGACTGAGTACGAAATACGCACATGGAATGCAGCAGGGGACAAATCAGATAAAAATCCTCACATCCTATGATAGAGACAGAAAGAATAGAAACATAAATGAGGAAGGAAGTCAGATACAATGAGAGAGATGGAGAAAAACGGGGCAGGAAAGGTTTCACTGAGACTACGTATCTGACGGCAGGGAATGAAGCTGCGGAGCCCTCCGGGGATCGGGAATCCCAGTTGAGGGAACGCAGACCCACAAGCCCTGAGTGGGGTCCTGCACACCTGTGTGAGCCATACCAGGCAGCCAATGTGGCTGGAGCTGAGCAGGCAGCCAATGTGGCTGGAGCCTGAGCAGGCAGAGGGAAGGTGCTGGGGACAGATTCACAGGTAAGGGTGTGACCTCGCAGGTCACTCTAAGCACTCGGGCTTTGACTCTGAGAGCCCCGGGGCATGGTGGTTTGAGCAGACTACCATTTGACTCCAGAAGAGTCAGGGAAGCTGCCGGCCCGGGTGCGGGCATGTGAAGTGGACAGCCCGGGAGACTCTCCGGAGGAGCCAGATGCCTCAGGTCCATGGTCAGCCACCAACACGGCAGGGTTTCCTGATGGCTGGACGTGGATGCAGGGGGGAGGGGAGCGGCACCTGCGAAGCTGGAGGACAGAAGCGACATCCGCGGAGACGGAGCGCCCCGGGGAGAGTAGCTGCTCAAACCCAAGGGCGGTGGTCCTCGCCACGGAGGGGGACCGCAGGCAGATTCTGCTGGAGCCCCCAGAGGATGCGCAGCATCAGCCAGCACCCCGAAACAGAGTCACTGCTTGCCGGCTGCCAGTCGCTCCGCTGGGGTCCCTTTCGCCTGTCACGAGCCGCTGCCTCCTGGCCAGGACTGCACGAACCGTCTGGGAGATGTCCTCGTGCGGGGTCCTCGTGTGTCCCCGAGGCCGAAACCGAACCCTGTGTCTCGCTTCCCTTCTGAACGC